GTGAAAGTACCAGCAAAGCAAAGACTATGAAGATATCACAAGGAAATGATAATATACACCAGTGTGTAAAAATACCAGGTCTCCAGCGAGGCTGTAAGTGGTGTGCAAAAGAAGGAAAACTGATGGCTGGATCAAAAAGAAATAGAATGCGTGAAACTACAACAGGCTGTGCATTGTGTAATGTGCACCTCCATAAAGTTGGATGCTTTCAGGCTTTCCATCACTATGTTGTAACTAAAGATACAAGTCATAAGACAACCCAGGTGAACAGCAAAGAAGAGATCACAGCAAACTGTAGAAAATTAAAAAAAGGTGACAAAGTTATTAAGTTACAGTAGATGAATTACCTACGAAGTAACACTTTATTATTAAACAACTTGATGTTTACTACATATACATGTAAATTCCAAATCTGTTCACAACATTTTGAGTTTCAAAATAAATTTAGAATTTAACAGAATTTGATTGTTTCATTTAATTAGGTAATTATATTCTCCCAAATGTTTAGATAAACCTGAAGCCATATTTTACCATAACATGGTATTTTATGGACCAACGATTTCCTTTCCCAAGCCATAAAAACCCATATTGTCTGGCTGAATGCTTATTCCTTCTGAAACCATAAAGTACCATATTTTGTGATGCTGAGGTTATGATAAAATAAACATGTATTCCCCAAACCATATTTTACCATAACATGGTATTTTATGGACCAACGATTTCCTTCCCCAAGCCATAAAAAAACATATTGTCTGGCTGAATACTTATTCCTTCTGAAACCATAAAGTACCATATTTTGTGATGCTGAGGTTATGATAAAATAAACATGTATTCCCCAAACCATATTTTACCATAACATGGTATTTTATGGACCAACGATTTCCTTTCCCAAGCCATAAAAACCCATATTGTCTGGCTGAATACTTATTCCTTCTGAAACCATAAAGTACCATATCTGTAATTATTATTGTAGCCATATAATGCCATAAGATAAATGCCCTACGTTCTGCACCATCGGAACACATAAAATACCATATAATTGATTTTAGACCAAGCCATACAAAACCATATTTTTAAAATTCTCCAGTAGCATAGTTACTTGATAAACCATGACTTACTCTTTTAGGCAAGTTAATTTTTATCTCTGGTTTCATGATTTATAAACAAAATTCACAGCTGTCATGTTTATCTTAATTAGCATATTTTTGTAACGCTCCTCTAATCGTACAATTTAATTTATGTGTCTGAATTTCATGAAATGAGAAGACAATGATCTATTCTAAATGGAAAACCAAGTTTAGTGTCAATTTGATTACTTAAAATGCAGTACTTGACAATTGAAATTGGTTGAAATTACACAAAAAGTCTTGTCTAGTTAGCGTGAAATGTATGCTGGGAGAATAAGTGTCCATTTTTCACGTGGTTTTTTATGGCGTTGGTAGGAAGAGGGTTAAACCATGGAGCTAGCTCCATCATGAAGCATAAAAATTATCAAAAGCGCCCCAAAAGCAAAGACAACTACTAGTATAATTTTTACTTCTTCTGTTCCATCGTTAATCATGTCAATGCCATCCAGCAGAACCATTATTGGATGAAAATACCACAGTCACTTGGGGGCTGAAAATCAATAAATACTAATTTTTTAAAAAACAAGCAGCCTGTCGGCTGAGATAGCTCCGCTGTTAGCAATGCACATGGCAATTAAAGAACAGAAGATATCATTAGAAAATGAACAAATCTGAGAGAGGTCCACATGTAGTACCTATATATGTAATATCAAAGCAATTGGACTTGCGGTTTTCAACAAGAAGTCGAAAATATCACTTTTTACCAAAAATTACAAAAATATTCACCAAAATTAGAGAATTAAAGATATCATTATAAAATGAACAAATCTGAGAGAGGTCCACATGTAGTACCTATATATGTAATATCAAAGCAATTGGACTTGCGGTTTTCAACAAGAGGTCGAAAATACCACTTTTTACCAAAAATTACAAAAATATTCACCAAAATTAGAGAATTGAAGATATCATTACAAAATGAACAAATCTGAGAGAGGTCGACATGTAGTACCTATATATGTAAATATCAAAGCAATTGGACTTGCGGTTTTCAACAAGAAGTCGAAAATATCACTTTTTACCAAAAATGACAAAAATATTCACCAAAATTAGAGAATTGAAGATATCATTACAAATGAACAAATCTGAGAGAGGTCCACATGTAGTACCTATATATGTATATCAAGCATTGCACTTGCGTTTTCAACAGAGTCGAAAATATCACTTTTTACTAA